TCCCAGGTGTGAGAGAGAGAAGAAACAGGATAGAAAGAATATGAAGAAGGCAAGCCACAACTGCTATTGCTGGGAGAAGAGAAGAGGAGGACCCATCCCTGAAAAGCAACTGGGAATTACTACCAGAGAGAATGTCTCTATAATAAAAAGAAAAGTTCACGGGACCTGAAAACTGGAAGCAACAAGTGGCACAAATATCCTCCCAAAGGTACTGGTCTCCTCTTTCATTTCTCTGAGAAAAAACTAAGCAGAAGCTATCATGCCCAGGTCACTTCTCCTCTAAGGAGCACACACTCCGTATCCAGGCTTGGAATTGGAAGGGACCTTAGAGGTAATGGAATCCAGAACCTCTCTTTTGAGAGATAAGGAGGCATTAGTCACTCGTTTGCCATCCTTTAGTAAAGGAGCCTTAATCCAAACCTCCCAACAACCGGGCCAGTGCCCTTCCCACTCTGGTTTGCAACCTTGAAATTAGGAGAGTTGGGGGAAGCATCATACTCTTGCCGGAGGATGACGAGGAGAGGGGAAATGCCATGTGAGGGGTCCATACAGCTGTTCATCATTCTTAATACACGGTGACAGATGACTAATCGAGTCCTCTCTTCCTTCCATGTCCCACATAGGGGCTAACACAATTTGGGTGCTCAGTACACAGTAAGCCTTCAACTGCTTCAAAGTATAACAAGACCTTACACATGTTTCCTAAGCCCCCAGCACCAATGAATTTGTAGTTTTATAAATATCATGGTGAACAAGAAATGCTGTCTTGTCATATTCAAGCCAAATAACAGCTGGACTTTAAAAATAAAATTTTGAAGGCATTTGCCTTTTATATTTTTAATTTCTGTTTTCCTGGCTTATGGTTTTGTCATTTGATTTTGATGAGTGTTTAATACACATGCACAGCTGCCTCTTTGGGTGACCTTTCCCTTGCTGCCTCCATGCTCAGAGCTGCGAAGCAGGTCCGCAAGTTGCTTACTAAGTGATATTGGCATTTTCACAACTGGCAGATATTTTCCTGGGAAGCCCAGCTGGAACGGGCCCTCATCTCCTAAGCTGACGTACTTCAGTGTCTTCAGAAGCCTCACAGGAGGACGGGGTGCAAGTGGGAGGACAGCACAGCCCTTTAAGAGGACTGTTGTGCCTTATTCACAATAGCTAAGACATGAAGACAACCTAAGTGTGCATTGATGGATGAGTGTGTGTGTGTGTGTGTGTGTGTGTGTACAATCACATTTTCTTTTACTCTGTACATATCTACACATACACACACACACAAAACTCTTGAAGGAGTTTCGTAGATGAATATTATTCATCCACAAACAAGAAGACAGTCCTGCCATTTACGACAACATGGGTGGGCCCTGAAGACATTATGCAAAGTGAAATAAGTCAAATCAAGCAAGACTGTACGGTCTCACTTACATGTGGAATCTAAAAATGGCAAACTCAGAAACAGAGTAGAATGGTGATTTCTAGGGATTAGGGGGAGGGGGGAAAAGGGAGAGAAGTTAGTCAAAGAGTATATAAACATCCAGTTTAAGATGGATAAGCTGTGGGGTGCCAAGGTACAGCATGGGGACTATAATTAACAATACTGCATTATATACTTGAAAGTTGCTAAGAAGGTAGATCTTCCATTTTCTCGTAAAAAAAAGAGGAGATTATGTAAGGTGATAGATGTATTAACTAACTTTATTGTGGTAATCATCTCCTAATATGCATGGGTACCAAACCATCACATCGTACACCTGAAATTTATGCTGTTATATATCAATTCTACCTCAGCAAAGCTGAGGAAAACATTTTAATTGCCATGCCAAACCAGAGGAAACATGAAGATGATCACATGTGGACTGAGAAGAGGTGATGTGCCAGGCTAGAGCTGCAGGACTCACAGGCCAACTGAGCTGACCTAAGTAGCTTTCACTCTGAATCTCTATGGGGCACAACAAAGTCTTGATCTTTTTAGGACTTTTCTCAGTGGTAATTATGCCTGCCTGTCTGTAGATATTTCCCTTTCAAATTTCTGTCTTCCTTCACTAGACTTTAAACTCCAAGAGGTCAGGAACATATCTGTTTTGCTTCCCTTGGTTTATCTAGTGTCTAGTTCTGGCACATGATTGACACTTAAGTAATGTTTTATTTTGTTCTGTTTTGTTTAGACCATAAGCTGACGGAAGGAGTTTATAAGTCATAGTTATTCTTTTATCGCAGTCCCTGCCTACTCTTCCTGTTAAGGGAAATGCGAAGGAGCGAAGTAGAGAGAAGTATCATGTGTACCTGCTATCTGCTCTGACTTTAATAGGAACTGTAACCCCAGCAGGCTTTGCAATCAGCTCTTACTCGAGCAGACGCCAGGAAATATCCCGAAGTCAGCAGAAGGCTGCTGCCCATCCCAGCCGTCCTCACAAAGGCAGTGTGCTTCTGTCCATCGGAGAGCTAGTAACTTGACTCCATTCATGAACTCACAGTCCCCCAAAGCACATGAGGTCTCAATGGCAACTCTGGGCAAACTTCTGAAGGGAGGTTTTCACACGCTCCTTAAGCTCCTGGGCCACTACAGCCCTTCTACTATTACACTCACCAGGCACTGCCGCTCTGTGTGACCGAGTAACACGAGAGCTGGGGTACGGCATGACTTGCTATATTTAGGGAGAGGAAATGGGTCATATTGAGGAAGGTCACAAGGAGTTTGTTCAGAAAAGTGAAGGCACCATGTATTTATCTGTGTTTACACGGCCTGCAGTAAAGCATGGGGCTCGGGAGCCTGGGTTCTCAACTCTCAGCTCTACCCTACGTGACTGGTGGCAAGTTACTTGATTTCTCTCACCTTTAATATTCTCATCTGGAAAGTGGAGAAGAAATAATAACTTCACAGAGTTGTGGAAGGTTTATGTGAAGAAATAGGTGTAAAACCTTAGCACGGTATCTGGCAGGTAAGGGCTTCAAAAATATTTGCTAATGAACAAACGACAGGAACAGAAACCAAAGTAGCCAGGAAACTGGTCTGAATCCTGATGATCTGGGTATCAAATGGAACTTACAAAAATATTTCTATACGATATGTTTCCCTACAGTTAAGGATTCTATTTTCTCCTTTCACAATGGTTAGTAACTCTGATCATGCTTTTTAATTTACCGAGCCCATGTTATCATTAACTAAAACATTAGCATATTGAGAGGGGACTGACCATGTGTAGAGCCATTATATAGTTAAGAAACCCAATGAAGAAAGAAGGATGACAGATTAAGAGAACTTCTAGAACACGGATAAGGTGATAGAACCTTGTACCTTCTAGTCTATGGAAAAATGAACAGACTGAAACCTCCAAAGTGATGAAAAGTATTATTTCACGGTGTTCAGCCAAACACTTGGGTACTCTGTGGTATGACCTTGCCACAGAATTGAGACAGGCCAGACCTGAATAACTGGTCCCCTAGACCAAGGAACCTCAATTCTCATTAAAAAAAACAAAACAAAACAAAACAAAAAAAACCTATATTTCTAACCACCTATAAAATATCAGTTGTGCTCTTGGTACCCATTCTTCACAAAAGTCAGTGAGTGTATATCCAGTTTTGAGTGCTCTTTATCCCTCCCTTCTTCCTCCTCCTTTTCTCTTCCTCTTCCCTGTCCTTCCCCCAGACCCCACATATGTACGATTCAGAATTTAACACCTTGTCCCCAAAACTATCATTAAACATCAGTCTCTCCTATTTGGTATTTTAAAAATCTGCCTTCTGGAAACTCTGAAGTGCTTCCTAATTTTTTTTTAAGATTTTATTTATTTATTTGACAGGCAGTGATCACAAGTAGGCAGAGAGGCAGGCAGAGAGAGAGGTGTGGGGGGAAGCAGGCTCCCCGCTGAGCCGAGAGCCCCATGCAGGGCTTGATCCCAGGACCCCGAGATCATGACCTGAGCCAAAGGCAGAGGCTTTAACCCACTGAGCCAGCCAGGCGCCCCTGCTTCCTAATGTTTGACACTGTCCATCTTTTAGCGCTCATGCCACGGACTGCTGAACTGCCGAGATGGCCCCAAGCTTTCGACAGAAGCCAGGCCCAGTTCAGATGTGGCTATGAAATGTCTCCATGTGTTTTCAGGGGATTAGGGTCCTGGAAGCAATTCTGCCAGTGAAGAGGATAATGGTAAGATTCTTCTCCTCAAGCTAAAGAACTTCAGCTGGGACCCAAGTTGGTTGAAGTATTGTGTTACTCTGAAGAGAACAAATTAATCTTCCCTGACTGGTGGGAGGGACTCTGCCAAAGGAACAGCTAACGGGAAAACCAGTCCCTACTCTGTGAGGACACAGTAAATAACCAGGCAACATTACTTACTGAAGCGCTGACCTAACTCATAAATTGCACCCAGCCTCTGGGGAGCAATTTCTGCTGATTTGCTGCTTGTGCATTTAAAACAAACAAACAAAAAGGGAAGACAAGTGGACAGGCATTGTAGTGCTGTGGGTAAACCCACTGAGAGTGAAGCTGGTCTTTCCACCCAGACTTTCCAAAGATTTTAGTAACGCTTAGTGCTCTGGCACACGCTGGACCTTGCCCAAGCAATTAATTTTATGCAGGATCTGCTGCAAACCATCACTGAGTTCCCAAAATGGTTTGGCTGCACCTGGGACACACTTGATTTAGGGTTTAAAAAAAAAAAAAAAATCCTCCTTTGTATGCTAGTCCTTTTTTAGCAAGAATTGAGGGACATGGATGATGACACACAGGATTCTGTTACTCACTGCAATGCAGAGGGTCCTTTTATTAAGCAACTGGAAAGTGGCACCTTGAAGTCCTTGAACAGCTGTATGTTCAGTGATATACAATCTAGCTACCTCTTAACGTTCTCAGCTCTAGTATAAAACGGAGGCTAGCATTTCTTCTGCTTTGCCGAAAAAATCCAGCCGGTAGTCTCAGGAAAGACCCTAGAGCTAACTCTGTTGCACTGTCACAACCTCCCAGAGCAGCAGAAAAGAGCTAGGGAAGAGCTACTCACCCTCTGCATCTTCTGGCCGCGTAAGATCGATGACACCTGGGCCCAGCTTCCCATCTTCACTTGATTTTCCTGTTAACTGGGGCCCCAAATTCTCAAAGCGTGTTCTTTCCTAGAGGAAAGAATAATCAGAGACTTATTCTAGCTTCCGAAGCAGCCACTTTTTTCCTTCCAGTTTCTATCTCGCTTTTGTGGGCAAGACTTGGATTTACAAACATTGTTTCTGACCAATGGTGGGTTCAGAAAGGCTCTCAGGAAGGTTCCGCTTGTCTAAAGCAAAGTACCTGAGGTTCCACTTGTCTAAAGCAAAGTACCTGCAAGGAAAGGAAACTGTCGTCAGGAAGCCCGCTGGGCAGCATTGCGTTTCTTCTCTCACTGGGATTTGCTCCAGGAGTCTAAAAGGAACGCAAGTGAAAGGTTTGAGCCTGAAGTGCAAAACGTGAAAGAACAATCCCCATTAAAATCTACTGCTAGTTAACGGGAGAGGAATTTTCTCAATTAGAGATCACAGTTCGCATTGGTGTTCTTGGGAAAATACCAATCAGAATTTTAGGCAAGAGGATTTCAAAAACAAATGTTTCAAAGCAGCCAGAGGAGATGATGGCACTGATGCTCTTATTTTGCTTGGGAGCTGCCACTGGAACTTCCCCAGGAAGTAAAAGGGAGATTACTCCTCGCCCAGCCGTTGAGCGAGGAAAGTGAAAATCTCCCGCCGCTATAGGAGGGAAACTCAAGGATGCTATGCTTGTGAACCAGCTCTTCTAGGAGAAGGAGCCTGAAATAGCACATGGAACTCTCCCTCTGCAGCTCTCTGGATCAGTAGCCAAGGGCTCCCTGACTGTCACTAAGATGGTGTTCTCGTCTGCAAAAACACAGCACGTATCCCCTTCTCTCGCCTCCTCGCTCCTCTCCAGACTCAAACTTGGCTTTGTGTGGTGCTTATGAATGAATGAAACCTTGTTGTTCATTACTATGAAACAATATTAAATGTCCTGTCAGCTTGAATTTACAGACATGGAATAGCAGCGTCCAGCTCCGGGAATGGTTTCTGCATGTTATACTTAATGCATTATGCAGCAGGAGAGTGCTGATTGCCGTTCAGTCTATTGTTCAATGACCTAGTTCTGTGCTGAGCATGTTCGGCATCAGACGGAGACACTCTGTGAGTGTTCTCTTCTGTAAGATGTTTAGAAACTTGGAAATATTCTTAAAGAGCAAACATACAATTACTTGATAGAGGCTGTGTCTCATTTGTACAGTCCCACTACATTTGTGCTTTCTAATATGATTATTTTTGAATGTCATTATATTTCTATAATTAATTCCCATCAGTCAAATTGTGCAGGAAGTCTTCCAGCTCCCCCTTCATGGTGGAATATGTGGAAATCTGCGTTGGAAGAAAACACAGCATAAACCTTGCTTTCATCTAGCACCATGTCTAGGAAAGGTTTGCAACAAAATCATAATCATGAATTTCCCCAACTGGGTAATACTAACCAGTTACAATAGTGGGCTATGGGCAAACCTCTGAAATACGACACTTATAAAAAACAGAATGAAAATAAAAAGCAAATTAGGCATGGTTCCCCAATATCTTCTGATGTGAAAACACCACTGCACAAGAACAAATTAACCCAGATGCAGGCCACAACAGAAAGCAACCACAAGCCATGTGGGAGTTTCACACATTGTTGGGGAGTGGGGGGACAGCTGCTTTTAATCAGCCAATTTCTATTTTGGAGTAGCACTTTTGGTTGTCATGATGTAAAGAAAAAGAATTAAAGTGAAGATGAGTAGTACCAGGGAAAGCAAAATATTCAACCTTTGTTTTATCACATTGTTTCGCATTTCAAATATTTGCATGTGAATGCTTTCCCTATGTTAAATGCAAAAGGAGTTTTGATGTGACACCTGCAATCTTCTTGGAAGAACAACCTTTAGCTGTATTTTCACGGGGGGAAAAACAACTTTCTCTGAAAATCAACAGACCGTGCTACCTATCAATATGCATATTTCAAGTATCTTTCTAGTCATTCATTCTCTTTGATTTTACCAGAAAATATTCTCGGTAAAAAAAAAAATAAAGTTCCTGAAAGAATATCAATATTTTGACAGGGAAGGAGAAGAGGGAAAATTACATGCCATGGTTTGTAAAATCCTAAGACAACAAAGCTTACATGATGATAATATCTTTTCTTTTATAAAAAATGAAGTGCACTCACAATTCAGTATTATCAGCTTGTTTTTAATCATAACAAAAAACATTCAGAACATTCAACAACACATTCACAGTGTCTTTGAAGTCATACATTTTTCTGACTTCATTGAAAAAAAAATTCTTCTGCAGAGACACTTTCCTTATAAAATATCAATATTTTGACAGAGTAGAAGTCAAGGAAGAATATCCCATGAAACACTTGTTAAACAGGCAGAAAATAAATCAATGATAAAAATTGTTTTGGGCAGTGGGCTGCCTTTTATATTTGGTAATATTAAGCACTTGTGTTTGAGATTAAAGAAGGACCCTGCAAAGCCATGCCCTTTCATATACATTTCTACCTAGTCTCCCAGAAGATTTCCTTCTTCAAAGAATAGCTCAGAATATTTATTTGCCAGCCACATAACCATAAGATAAGAGGGCCTGGAGCTACAAGTTAGCTCCAGGCAGCTGGGCTAAGCTTGGGAGGTGCAACGTGAGCCTAGCAGATATAGGATGCGGACATGAGCACAGGGATTCGTTCAGAGATCCTTCAGCTCCAAGAGGCTTCAACTTCTGGCCAGTAAGTGCCAATGGGTATACCCCTATATCCACCAAATACAGACAGCGGGAGGCAAGTTCTTCACTCCAGATTTTTCCACTCACTTGAACCAGCTCTCACAATGCACACATCTCCCGAGTAAGATATTTTGCAGATGTAAGCAAAATAGCTCGATGTTAATTGAATCTCACCCCCCATGCCAGGAACATTCCCCAATCTTCATGTTGACGGCACAAGGTGCATTTTACATGCAGTGATGTGATCAGACGCTTACTTATGCATTGTCAGTCACAAAACATGCAGGCAACATAAAAGTTATTGAAAAAAATTAAAGTCTGAAAGTCAGCTCTGCTGTGTTGTAGGACTGTTGGCTCTCTAAGTGCTTTGAAATTATGATGTATGAGATAGATGTTGCATATTAAGTAAAGACATTGAAATGATAAAGCCCCCTTTAGTGAGAGCTGATGAATGTTCAATGCTACAAGCCACACGACGCTGGCATCCATCATCTTCACATATTATCAGAGTCAATGACGGGGCAGCCTCACTGATGACAGATAGACTGCTGCATTATTATCCCTTATTTCCAGAGTCACTGAACAAACCATTCAACTACTCGGGCATTATTTTTAACTTTGCATTAAATTAGCAACTTCTCCCTCTCTACCATGGCAAGATTGATCAATTTTGTTTTTGCATCGGTGGAGAAAGAGAATGGTTTGGGGTGACTAAAAGAAGAGAGCCTTGCTTCCATCTAAGAAAAAAAAATCAACTTCCTCTTACTGGCAACAAATGTAAAATTGTGATATGGGGAAAGAACAGCAATGAAACAGTAAGCACACAATAATGGCTTTTCTTTGCACTTAGATAAAAGCTGAATTTTTGATGTGCACAGTATATTTTAATAAAATTTTATATACTATGTTTTATACACTTATTGGCTATTCCATAATAATGTGTGTGCGAACAGTAAAATTGCTCTTAAATTTATGTGTGTTATTTATACGTTCCCCCGTAACAATGCTTTTTGTTGTAAAAAATATTCTGTTTATTAATGTAACTTTACAACCACTGCATCCAAGATCCGTGGTAAATTAATGACATTTTTATTATTTTATAGTGTCATTAAATTTTTACTGATCACTCCATCAAACAGAGGCAGTAAAGGCCATAATGTAAACTGGGACACTTAGATCAGGCAGCAGGAAGACATTCCATATAGTCTGAAGAAAACTGCTAGCAATAAATGATATTTATACCATCTTTAAGCATGTTAGAATACTTGGATAAGTTTGGCAAAACTGTTTCAGTAGTAGAGTGGATTGTGTACTTAAATAACAGTTTGCTTGCCAGCAAGACAAGCCTTTTTCAAACCATCTGTGAGATGACTGATCTCAGCCATCTCCTGGAAAACACCACATGAACTGTGGGATGTGCTGGGCACCCTCCTGTCAGGATTACCGACACTGACCAGCCTACATCAGACCTCGACTCATTTCAACAAGGTCCCCTTTTCTACAAACTCAAGTGGAGATTGGTAAATACCAAGAGAAGCTTTTTGCTCATTTGCTTTACAAACAAATATATTTCATTTGACAACTAGACATGGAGGGACAATGATGTGATATAGTTTATTCCAATGGTCTACAGATGAGGGGTACTTTACCAACCTTTCTTCAAAGCTCCTTTCTAAGAATGTCAGGGGTTATACACAGCAGCCACAGAACATATACTGAAGGGGCCATTATCTACATTACCTACACTGCAGTGAAAATGGGCAAAAAATAATTCTTTCCTGTTACTTTCACATATAAAATATTTTATATTAGTATACTCTATGCTGATTCTCAATTAGTCTGCTTATAGAATATTTGCATAAATGTTTTATACAAATATTTTACAATATTTTATATAAATGTATACATATCAAATATACATAATAGCAACTCGGTAAGAATAATTAGAAAATTTTATGCTCACAAATTTAGAATCACCTATCTCCTATGTGGGGATGTGGGCATGAGTCTTTTTTAAGTAAATAAGAATTTTGTTGTTATATCCTAAAATACATACTGAAATATCGAAGACTTCTTTCAAATATGTAATATTAAGGAGTTTTGAAGGGAAACTTAATACTGCAAAGCCTGCAGCCACATTCGTGCGTGTTCCTGAAGCAGAGTTCTCTCAGAGTAAGAACAAAAACTCGCATTATGAACAGGAATTCTCTAAGGCTGGCACCGTGTCCTGAGATAGTATCTCTCCTCAAAGTTTCCGGCTTTGTGGAAGTCGTTGAGTATTCCCCAAAAGAATCTTGTCACTTCATCCCAGCTCCCAGCCTTCGTTTCTCTCCGAC